CAGTTTCTTCTCCTCTAAAGCAGGACCACTAACAGCCCCTCCTGGGGTGGCTGTGGGGACAGAACAAGACCATGGAGGGCAACTGCTCGGCACCTGGTGGAGGAGGCCGGGTGGGCCCCGGGCAGGCTTCTGGAGGCGGAGGGTCCAGCCCTGACCTGCTGGAAGGGAGGCGGCCTCTCCAGGAGGGACTCGGGTTTTCTGCTGGTTGGGTGGGGTGGAGGTCGAGTCGGAGGTGTGAGGCTTGCCTGAATGCAGCTGAGGGATCCGGGGAGGGGACAAAGGGTTCAGCTGGTATGTACTGGGAACATCCCCTCCCACCAGGCAGCCCCAGGGGCCAGGGCCCAGAGCTTTTTCCAGAAGCCCCTGGGTCCTGGAGGGAGGGGAAGGAGCTCTTTCTGGGATGAAGCCCCAGGAAGCTTCCTCATTGTGGTCTCCAGGGCTCCGCTTAGCCTCACACCAGCCCAGGACAGAGCCTGGTGTCAGAGACGGTGTGGGGGGACAGGGCAGGAGCTGAGACAGCAGGGGTCCCCTGTGTCACTCAGATGTGGGAGGACCACAAAGCTGATATGTGGACAGGGAGGTGGCAGGAGGGGCCAGTCTGGGCTCTGGCCCAGGGGTGGTGACAGGGCCCATCCCTCAGCTCGGCTTTGAGGGACTGCTGCCCCAGCTGCCAGCACGGCAGTCACAGAGCTCGGCCCCACACTGGAGGCCACCGGGAGGCTCCTCTCCCTCCTCCCACCTCATGCCCCCAGGTCAGCCCTGAAGGCCTGGCTGCGGGCCTGTCCACTTGGGCAGGAAACATTAAATCCCTGCAACGCAGATCCCAGAGAGCTCCACTTCCGCACGCCACCCCCGGCCCCTGCAGCCGGCCAAGGTCATCTGCCTGGCCGACAGCACAGGGAGCTGGCACAGCAGCTGGGTGCCAAGCGGCTGACACCACTGGGCAGGGCTGGGATGGCCCCAGGAGGGCTGGCTCAGACACAGCCCTGTGCTCTGAACACACCTGGGCTGGACGCCGCCTCCCCACGCACTCCCCGGTGCACACGCCTCAAGCACGGGCCCAGGCTGTCCCAATCAAATGAGAGCCAGCACACACGTCAAACTCGCTCATGCCAGGCGCTGGCTATAGCACCTACAGCATCGAGGTTCATCGCATGGCATGTAAACTAATTACCAAACTTCTGCAGCACACCAAAAGTATACTTTTTGCCGATCTGACAAAAAAGATAGGTATAGACAGCTACTGTTGTGTTTGTTGGCTGGGTTTTTTTTTTTTTTTTTTTGCCCATTTCACGATCTAAGGGAAAAGAGGGCAGTGCCCCTGACTAAATCGTCACGTAGTCATGTTTTGAAGATTCTGGTGGCACACCAGTTGAAAATCACTGCCCTACGGGAGTTAACTCACCTAATCCTTTCAACAGCCCTGTGAGGTGGCTGTCTACTATCATCCCATTTTCCAGATGGGGCCACTGAGATCCAGAGAGAATGGACCTTGGGTCACGCCCCTGTGACCGGCAAGGCTGGGATCTGAGCCCAGTGGCCCGGCTCTGTGGCTCCTGCCGGGCTGTCACCTGGCGCCCCCACCCACAGCAGACATACTGCACATGGACACTGCACGCCAGGCCTGTAGCTGCCCTGATCCCTGCACCGCAGACGGGGCGGGAACTCAGTCCGAGCCCCCCAGGGCTCCCCCGACTCCTCTGCCCCATTCGACCCCAGCCGTGGGATGCTCTGAGAAATCTGGTACCAGCTTAGAATGAAGTCACAAAATTAGGTTTAATTGGGACCCACAGGGCACAAAAGAAAGCAGAAGAGGGGGCGGCCCAGCTGGTGTCCCTGGACTTGTGCCCAGACGTTGGGGCAGGGCTGTGATGGGGGAGGAAGGGCCTCACTGTGTGCGTCTGTAAAATGGAGAGACAGTGGTCCTTCCCAGCATTGTGAGCAGCCAGCAGCTGGTGCCCAGGGAGCTCCAGGCACAGCCTGGGAGCGGTGGGAGCTGGGGAGCTGCCAGGGGAGGGTGGTCTTCTCCTGGCCAGGACCCCAACTCCACCCCTGAGGAGACATCACTGTCCCTGTTTTCCAGATGAGGCAGTAGACACTCAGAGAGAGGAAAGGACTTGCCAACACACCCTCTTGGCACAGGCTGTGATGGGCGAGCCTGGACTTGACCCCAGCCTGCGTGGGGCCAGGCCCCTCCTCTCCTGCAGGCCCTGGCACCCAGGAGAGGTGGATCTGAAGGGCTCCTCCTGCCCTGCTTGAGTTGTTTACCTGGGCCCGGGTCCCCAGAGTCTCTGGCTAGGCCCCAGAGTCACCCTTTCTCTCCTAACAAGCCCAGGCCCCACCCCAATTAAGCCGGATGTGCTAACGAGGCAGCTCGTTAAGGAGCAGGGTGCGCCCCTGGAGGGCCAGGAAGACCAGGCTCCAGGCCCCTACCTAATCTGCCACTTGTCACTCTGGCCTCAGCTTCCACAACTGCACAGTGTATCCTAGAGCCTTTGCAGCAGCCTGAGCCTCCCCACGGTGCACCCTGGGACCGGGTGCACCATGCCGGCTGTCGCACCCCGGCGGAACCCAGGGGAAGAGGTTACCCCTGGCCGGGCTTGGGTGGCGTTTCCCACGGACCACTCAGAGCCGCCCACCTCCGCGGAGGCCCCTGCTCGCCAGCGCCCTCAATGCGCTTCCAGGAAAGAGCAGGGCGGGCTGGGTGCGCCCCCTGCCGGCCACACGGCGTCACTGTCAGCCTGGGTCAGCGGTAGCCTCTCGGTGCCTCGATTTCCCTAGGTGGGAAACAATGCAGAGGAGGGGGTCGGAGGCGATAAGAGCGGCCGGAAGCTGCGGGAGAAAGGCTGGGTACCACGTGAGCCACAGCACAACAGAGGGGACTGGGGCCATTTTGTTGTGGGCCTCAGCCATCTCTGAAACGGGCTCGGGACGCGGGGAGCCCACGGCTGACTGCCCTTCCCCTGCAGTGGACGGCTGCATTCACCGGGCCGCTGGGCCCCTGCTCACTGACGAGTGCCGGACCCTGCAGAACTGCGAGACCGGCAAGGCCAAGATCACTGGCGGCTATCGGCTGCCTGCCAAGTGTGAGTCCAGATACCTGCATCCCTGTGGGGCGCACACAGGGAGACTTGCGTCATTGGTGCGGCTCCCAGATTTGCTGGAGGCCTCCTCAGGGGGCACTTCTTAACCCTAGGTGCCGGGACCTGGCCCCTCCTCGCACACCCAAGAAGCAGGCTGACAGGGGTGCATGGAGGCTGGAGAGGGACAGGGACAGGAAGGGAGGTGGGGGAAGAGCTCAGGGGACGGGGCCTTCTTGCACCCCTTGGCACCCCACGTCTCAGCCCGGTGCACACAGATGTGGGGAGCCACCCCGCGTGGGCCTGCCATGTCTATGGAGGCGTGGATTTGGACTTCAGAGCACGCCGTGTGCCCCCAGGGGTGAGGTCCTCCCGTGGGGAGCCATGGAACTTCGGGTGGGCGGAGAGGGCGCAGGCTGGCAGGAGAACCGAGGACCGCGATCCCGGCCAGCCTGACCTGGTGGCCTCCCGCAGATGTCATCCACACTGTGGGGCCGATCGCACACGGACAGCCCAGCGCTAGCCAGGCTGCCGAGCTCCGCAGCTGCTACCTGAGCAGCCTCGACCTACTGATGGAGCACCGGCTCCGCTCCGTGGTGAGGGGCGCGCGGGGCAGGGTGGGGCGGGGCTGTGGTCGGTGTGGGCAGCAGCGGGGCAGATGGAAAGGGCCCCACTCAGGCAGGTGGGCGGGGCCAGGCGCTGACGCTGACCTCAACCCCCTCTACCCTCCACCCCTGCCAGGCATTCCCCTGCATCTCCACCGGCGTATTTGGTGAGTGGAGTCATGGCGAGGAGGAAGGGCGGGTGGGCGGGCAGTGGCCGGCCCAGGCACGCAGAGGGGTGGGGCGGGGGGCGCAGAGGGCAGGGAGTGGGTGCTTTGCAGGCCTGAGCCAAGGCTCTCCCTCTTGCCTGGTCCCCAGGCTACCCCAACGAGGCAGCAGCCGAGGTAGTGCTGGCCACGCTGCGGGAGTGGCTGGAGCAGCACAAGGACAAGGTGAGGTCTGGGCCCAGTTGAGAGGGCCAGAAGGCATGGGGGGAGGCGAATTTGGATCCCACTGACCAGGCCTATCAGACACTGCCCAGGGCCAGGGCACAGGGTACCCTGACCAAGGGCCTCCAGCCACAACAGTCCTTTCTGCATGCCCTCCCCTTCTGTCTAGCCACTTTGGTTTCCTAACATACAGTGAACCTCTTCTGTCAAGGGTATAGCCTAGTTTGAGCGGCCATTCCAAAGGCAAAGCAGGTCACCCTTCAGGGCCTGGGGGCAAAGGGACAGTGATAAGAGCCAGGAGCTGGGAGGGTGGCTTCCCCCAGGCTGAACAGGCCCTGGTGCAGGTGGACCGGCTGATCATCTGTGTGTTTCTGGAGAAGGATGAAAGCATCTACCTGCGGCGGCTCCCCCACTACTTCCCCGTGGGTAGGTACCTGTGGCTCTGCCCGCAGCCCGCCAGCCCCTTCCCTAGCCCGCCAGCCCCTTCCCTGCCCCGCCCCCCCAGGGCCAGTTCTCAGTGTCCTCTGCCTTCCAGCCTGATGGCACCCACTGCACACCCTGACCAGGACTGGTAAGCAGGGCCTGGCCCACTGTGTGGCTGCCCACTAATCCCCTGCGCACTAACACACCCGCTCACCCCCACGCAGGGAGGCAGCCTGGGAGCCCACAGCCCACCACTCCCCCCAACCTCTCTCCTCTGCCTGCAGACTCACCTGGGCCTGCTGGACCTCGCTCCCAGCTCTAATAGGTCACGGAAGCCTGCAGCTGGACCTGGCCCCCTGACCCTTTCCCTCAGCCCCTGAGCCTCAGGACTCTCCTAATAAAGACCTCGCTTTGTTGCAGCCCCCGTTGTCCGAGCCCCAGCTTGGGTGAGGAAGGTAACCCACAGGGGCTGCTGAGTGCGCTCGGCGAGCAGACAGTGGCGGAGGTGGGCAGCAGCACTTCACATTTATTGAGGGCCTGCCCCCAAGGAGCTCACAGCCTGGGGGCTAAGCCCCCACAAGTCTGGGGTGGGGAGGAAAGGAGGTGAAGGCAGAAAGGCAGGCGATGCAGACACTGTGGCCCAAGCAAAAGGGGTGCAAAGCAGGCACAGGCACAGGGCCTGGGGTGGACGGGGGATGGTAGCCCAGCAAGTCCTGCCTAGACCTGGGGACTCAGCCGAGCAGGGGCTTGAAGGCTGCCCCTTCCCCACCAGGGTGGGGGCACACTGGAGGCACCCCAGCCCTACCACCTGCTGAGCCAGGCCCCCCGCATCATGTTGGCCCTCTCCACCCAGTAGTCCTTGACCGAGCAGACCCCTGGCGGAAAGCAGGCAGCTGGGGTCTGGGGCCCTGGCCTGACTACAGATGGAGGTGGGCCCATGAGGGAGCAGCTCGAAGCCTTGATGGTCCGAGGTCCCTGGATGAGTCTCCAAGGAACCTCCAAACGTCCATGGAAGCCCCTGGGGCCAGCCAGAAGGAGGGAGGCACAATGGAAGCAGAATCCCAATAACCAGGAGGGGTGCCCCAAGAGGCCTAGCCTCTCAAAGCTGCTGCTGGCAGGGAGGTGTGGGGACCCACCCAGGGGGAAGGGGCACAGCCAGACACAGAGCAGCCAGGCAGGCAGCAGCAGAGCAGGGACACGCACACGCGGCTCACCACCAGCATCCCCTTTAATAGAACACAGAAGGTTGTGTGACAGGGAGGGAGGAGTGAAATGTGACCATTTACAACCACACAGAAACCTCTGTACATGTCTAGCGCCTGGCAGAGGGGAGGGCAGCAGGGTGGCGGCGGGCAGGGCCGGCCCTACTTGTACAGGATGTCGTAGTGTCCGGGCCGGTAGAGAAGGTAGACCTTGGGCTCGGAGCCCTCAGGGAAGATGTGCGGGTTGGTGGCGCCGCCCTCCCCGCGGTCCATGTACTCCACCTGGATGGAGACGCGGAGGGCCTGGGCCAAGGCGATGATGTGGATGTGGTCGCTCTCCTTGCACATGGGCTCCACCTCCTGCGGCACAGGCGTGGGTCAGGGCCCAGGTCTCAGTGCCCCCCCCCCGCCCCCACTGGTCCCCAGGCCCTGGCGCTCCCCACCCTGAGAGGACAGAAAGAGGAGGGCCCTGAATCTGACAAGTAGGGGGCGCACCTGCTGGCAGAACTCCTTGACAGTCCGCCCGCCCTCGATGAAGTGCTCGAAGAACTTGCTCTCCCGCTGCAGGTAGCCAGAGGTGAGCAGCCGCAGGTAGACTACCAGGTAGTCCGAGGTGCTCTGGTCGTTGAAGGAGGCCAGCAGGTCAGCTACTGAGGTCTGCTTCTCCACCTGCTCGATCAGGTCCATGAACTGCCACCAGCGGGGACAGAGGGCAAGATGAGGGAGGAGCTGGGCCGACCCCCCACAGCCAGGCCACCTGCCCTCCACTCCAGCAGAGCAGGCAGCAAGGCAGCTGGGCTCACCGTATTGTGGAAATCCTCAATTGTGAACTCAGTGAAGCCCTGGGACACCAGGTCTTCTTTGCTCTTGGCAGACACGGCTTTGAACCTGCAGTATGAGGGAGAGGGAGGCAGGCATGGGCTCCTGCGCCAGCAGCGTAGGCCTCTGGTGGAGCGAGACCTCCTGGTCATCGGGAGGGAGGAGGAGGGAGCCCCGCAGGCCCTCGTGGGGCTGTGCCACCCACCTCCTTCAGTGCCCACCCTCCTCACCTCTGCAATTCCTTGCTGTCATCCAGCAGCGCCTCCAAGTGGGAGAACCCGAAAGCTCGATAAAAGCAGTTCCCATCGGGCCTGGTCTTGCGGATGTAGGAGTACTTTTTGTGGAGGTCCTGCAAAGAGGCAGCCCCGCCCCACCCCTGCCTGTCAACATCTGGCCAGGGCCAAGGCAGGCCAAGGAGCCGCCTGACGAACGTCACACCGCAGCAGTGGCACCTGAGCTCCAAAGAGCTACCTGCCACCCTTGGCTGCTGTCCCTGATGGTGAGAGTCACTCAGTGACCTACTTCCCAGAGCTCAAAAGCCTTAGGACACCGTGAATTATGCTCACACCAGTTGCATGAGCCCCTGGCCACAACATGCCCCGTCTCCAACACCTAGAATATGGCTGGGGCCTGCAGAGCTGTCTGCTCAGCAAACGGGCAAGCGAGCCAGCCCCTGACCTGTTTGTCCCATGGATGGAGCCTTTCAAACCCTGCAAGGCCAGAGCACACGCCCCAGGCTGGGACAGGAACCAACCTTCCTCGGCTCCTCACCTCCACCTGCCCGCTCACAGGTGCCACCTGTGTGATCTCTTCCCGTCTCCTCCCCCAACTCCACAGACCAGCCCACACGAGTGGGCTGTCAGTGCTGCCTGACAGACGTGCCTCGCGCCCCGGCCTGGGCAGCTCCCCTGCTCCCCCACGGCTCCTTCATGCTGCCTCCACTCTCCTCAGGCCCCACCCCAAGACACCTGCACACAACTTCCCACGACTTAGGGCGCTTTCCTTGTCCTCCCACCTTACCGCCACTCCTCCTCGTCCCTCTAACCTGTGAGGGTAAGGGCACCTCCAAACCAGGTAACACCCTTCAAGACACACTGTGTCACCTGTCAGAGATGGTCATGACACATACGTGTCCACAGCGACTGTCACGTGAATGACACAACCCTGCTCAGGCCTGGGACAGTTTCTGCTGATCAACTCTGGATGTCCTCAGTCTTGGGGTTTCAACAGCCCTAATTGTAACTCTTTGTCCACCCGTCTCAGCCCTGAACTCCCATTTCAACTCACACATCCAGCCGGCCTCACATACACCTCCTCTGAACTGCCCAGCCTGGCTCGGCGGGTCCTGATCTCCCCATGCACCTGCTCCTCTAGCCTCCCCCCCAATCAACTGCAAACCTGCCTGTCAGCCTAAAACCTCACGGCCATCCTCACACCACATCCAATCCGATGCAGGGCCTTTCGGCACCACCCTTAATGCACCTGGTATCAAGTGCTTCCCACTGCTCAACCCTCCTGCCCTGGAGCCCCGGAGCCCGGGGCCCCAGCGTCCCTCCCACTGCCTGCTGGTTTTATCGCAAAGCTTCCACAGCAGCCTCCATGCCTCCACCCGCATTCATCCCATTCACCCCAGCCACCTGAGCAACCCCAAAGCCTGACAATACCCCGAGTCCTTTCTCTGGCTACAGCCCCCACATCTCCCATTCCTGCCTCCCCTTCGACTCCAGCCCCACCAGCCTCCACCCTGGTCCTCAAATCACCTGCACGCTCCTGCCCAGGCCGCCACAACCTGCTCGCATGCCTACCCATTCACTCACCCACACACCACCTTCTCAGCAAGCCCTTCACCGAGCACCCTCCACCCCCTCCCTGTCCCGCCTCACTCTTCTCCACGGCGCTTACTGTCCCCTGGAGCAGACATTTCAGTCACCTGTAGCTCACTGCCTGTCTTCCCACGAAGTGTCACGCGGGCAGGAATTTGTCAGTGGAAGTCATCACTCTACCTGCTGTACCCAGGACGGCACCTGGCCCACAGCATGGCCCACTCAGGTTGAATCAACAGCTCACAAAGCCCAAATCACCACGGCTTCCAGAAGTTACTATACTCCTCCTGAGCACTTACTCCTTGCCAGGCCCTGGGCTGACGGCCAGCGGCCATTATCTATTCATCTTCAGAGAGTCCATTTCACAAAGTCACCCACTCTCTCCAGCCCTGCCATCCAGGACTCCCTGGATGACATCCAGACTCAGGTGCCTCCCTGGGAGCAAAGGTGGGTTCGGGCACAACGCACAGTGAGGGTGGCGGTCTCCCGCACACGCAGCATGCAGACACCCGAACTTTTGCTGAATGACTTGATGGGAAAGAACCCGAGACTCCCACCCTGTCAATGTTGCCAGGGCAACCTAAGTGGGACAGGTAGGCCTTGAAATTGGGGCTCCACTCCACTAACCAACCACTGAGCTTGGCACCTGACCACTGTCACCTTCGGCAAGCCTCACACTCGTCCTGTGAGGCAGAGACCTCTCTACCCAGATCTGAGAAGACCGCCCCAGTTCACATGGCTGGAGGTGGTGTGGTCCTGACCCAAACCCAGGTCTGTAGGCCCCCGAGCCAGTGCCTTCCCCTCCCCACAAACCTCAGGTGGATCACAGGCACACTGATCAAGGCCGTGCACAGCTGGAGCTGGGCTGCAGCGGTGTTGTTTGGCCCACACCACATTTTAAATGTGAACCAGCTGCCAACTGTTAGGAGTCTGGAGACCTCATATCAAAATAATTTCTGGCTTCTTGAAAAAACAGATCTGGCGACAATGGAGTGACAGTCATGGTCACTCCCACTGGCCTCAGGAGCTTCCACTCACTGCTACTGGCTTTTTCGGGGCTGTGGTGCCCGCACTCACCACTGGACCCGGCTGACATCTGTTACCCAGGTGACCTGCCTGGCCCCTGGCATGGGTCACTCAAAGGCCCCTCCTTTCACATGAAAGGTTCTAAGCATCTCTGATCTTTAGGGGGAGGGGAGAAGTAAGTTACTAAACCCCAGGGCGCGCCAATGGATACCGTTCACACACGCCGCCACATTTCAACCCCCCAGCTCACAGGTGAGTGAGTGGTTAAACTTACCTGTTTGTAAATGAAGCACCACACCTGGCACAAAGGCTCTAGGCCCCTTCCCCCACTGCTGCCTGCCTCTCCACAAAGACCCTAGAAGCAGACTGTGGGGCACATGCCTGCCCCACACCTGTGCCCCACACAGCCCCAGCCCATTCGGCCCCACCGTGAGCACCGAGACCACCCACCTCCCGAGAGCGGCCTGCACCCCCCCAACAGGTGTCATTCTCTCACAGCCTCATCACCACAGGCTCCTGCTTTCATCCCAGTTTTACAGACCAGGACCCCACGGCTGAGACACTGAAGGGCCTACTATGGGCCTTTGGTTCCAGAGTCCGCACACCTAAGAATCAGCGACCAGGGGAGCCCCTGACACCCTACCCTCCAGGAGGCCAGGGCCCACAAGCAGAAGTAAAGCAGGCCCACGCCCACACCCAGGGCTCTCCCTGCCCCTCAGCCAGGCTCCCACCTTGATCTTCTGTTGATAGATGTTGTCGTCCTCAGCGTACTCCTTGTACAGGACCGAGAGCTCCAGCCGCTCCGAGACCAGAGGGTTCTGCACAGCAATCTGCGGCGGAGGTGGGGGGAATGGCAGGAAACCCATCATGGTCTGGGCAGGTGGCTACAGTGGCCCACACTGAACAGCCAGGGCACCTACATGAAGGGTGAACAGTGGCCCCCACCCCCCAATAAAGGTATCCAGTGTCCAGCACAGCTTGGAGAGGAGAGGGCTTCCGAAGCAGAGAAAAACAACGGGCAGTGGGCCACAGCCCCTCACCTCTTGTTGAATTCGGTCCTGCTGAGCCATGATGGCTTCATCGTAGGCAAGACAGTTAACACCTGAAGGAGGAAGGCGGCCAAGGGTTGTTGTGGGCCCTGGCTAGCTCCTCTCCAGGCAGCCAGACCCAGAACAAAAGCAGCCTGGAGAGCAGGCTTGAAATCTGAAAGCACACATCTTCCATTTCACTCTACCCAACTATGTAACCTTGGCAAAGCCCTTTGCCTGTCAGGTCTTACTTAGTTTTCTCATCTTTAAAATGCGGGGGGGCAGAGGTGATCACCCCAAGGCGTGTCCCTCCAGCTCTAGCACCCCCTTCCAGGCCTTCTAGCATCGCTGCTAGCAGACTGGGGATGCTCCGGGACTAGGCAGGGTCTCCTGAGGACAGTAAGAGGAGGAGAGCTTCCTGTGAGCCTGCACTTTACTTGCCCACACCCTTTCTCCTGTTGCTGTCCTGTGTATTCTTAATGGTGCCCATTTTACAGATAAAACAGATACAGACAGGTGAAGTATCTGCCCAAGACCACAACTACTAAAGACCTGTGGTCAAACCCCCGTGTGCCTAATTCCAAAGGCTTAGCTCTTCTCCACAATAGCTCTCCTCTGCCACCTCACTGCCAAGAAGGTTTAGAGAGGAGCTTTCCTCCCCTTTAGAGAGAGGCTAATTCCACCCTCTTCCTCCCCCACTGAAATACCCTGAGATGATACGTACAAGCATACTATTACGTGCCCATGGGAGAGCTGGGCAGGTCCGCCCTGTGGACCCCACCGAGCAGCCACCGGCGAGGAGCCAGGAGCCAGGAATTCTGGTCCTGGCTCTTCTTATCTTTTGTGATCCTGAACAAGTCCCTTCCGGGAGCCTGGATCTCCCAGTGCTCAGTCCCTCAGATGTGCGGCTGGAACCGGTGTATGTGTTAAATGACTTCTAAGGTCAATACTTTGGGGCCTGAGTATCCCAGACCCGTCCCTTCCCCTGACCTGCAATGGGGTTGTCCTCTCACCCAAGAGACCTACTCAGTCCCCAGGGCCTAACTCGTGGGTGAAAAAGAAGAGTGGCACCATTTTGAAAGGGCCAACTCTTTAGGGATCAAAGAAAACAATGCACAGCAAGGCGGAAAAGAGCTGCAAGGGCAGAAGACGGGGCTCCCCCGGAAACGCAGGCTGCAGTCTTCAGGGGCACACACCCGCGGCCGCTCACTCCCCCAGATGCCCGCAGCATCCCCAGCGGCCGCCCAGTTCTTTGTGCTCCGCAGTCCGCTGTAATACGACGCCCTCCCGGGCGCGGACACGGGCTGGTCTGGGGAAGGCGGGCCGGCGACGGAACCGACACAGGCCTCAGCCGGCCTGAACGCAAACGACCAAGCTGCCGGGCCGCGGACCTGGGAGCCCGGCGCTGAGGAGGCTGAGAGAGGGGCGGGGCGGCTCAGGCCCCGCCCCGGGAGCGCGTGAGGAAGAAGTGCCGCGGACCCGGGCCTGCTCCGCCAACCCGGCCGGGGGTCGCGGCGGCAGCTCCTTCCATTGTGAGGGGGAGGGGAGGCGGCGGCAGCGGTGGAGGAGGAAGGGGCCGACCTGCGCTTCGTCCCCAGCCTCCGGCCGCTCCGCCCCTGACCTCCTTGGGCACCAGCGTCCTAGCATCGCTCCCACTAGCCCGGGGTGCACAGCCCACCCCGAGTCAGTACCTTCGGAGTCGCTACCCAGCGGCTCCTGCTTCTGCTGCTGAGGTTCCTCCGCCGCCATCTTTAAACAGCGCCGCACTGCTGATCGCTTCCGGGTTACCAGTCGCCCTCCTCCCGGAAGAGAGGCCCTCCTCGTGGCCCCTCCTTGGCAACGCCTCTAGCAACGGGAACCCCTCGAGCGTAGGCATTTAGAGGGGGTGTTTGCCCTTTCAGCCGCAGCCTGGTGCTGGGACGGCTGCCCCACCCACCTTGCACCCGCGCACTTCCTGGGCTCCATCTTCCCAGGTTCTCCAAGCTCCTGGGGCTGAAAAGAGCCTCCCGGAGCCAGTTCAGTTTTCCTTTCTCTGCAATTCGAAACGTGGATTGTATGATGGAGATAAGTAGGAAGGTAAAATTAAAATCACCCAGGGCAGCAGTGCTGCGCTGGGTACCGAACTCACGGCAGGGAGGAGCGCCTGGCCGAGGAGTCAGGGAATCAGTGCCCGGACACCACCCCATCTCCACAGGCCTGCGTTCTGAGCGGGCTTTGGTGTCCTGCTTCCGGCAGGGAGAACCCGCTCCCTTCGTGTCACGGCCAGAGTCTCAGGACCTAACTCGACCCTGTGCTCTTCTGATTGAAAAAAGCAAGGTCTTTTTAAAAATGGGGAGTTGATAAAAATGAAAAAGACGAGTGGCTGCCAGGGGTTAAGGAGGAGGTGGGGGCCAGAGGAGAGTGGGTGTTAGCGTAAAAAGGAAACAGGCGGGATCTCTGTGGAGATGAAAACATCCCGCATCTCAGGTGTGTGTGAGTACCCTGCTACGTACACTCTAGTTCTGCAAGATGTTACCATGTTACGTGGGGGAAAGCACGTAAAGGGTACCCGGGATCTTTCTGTGTGACGTTAAAGTTGCCTGTGAATTACCTAAAAATAAAATGGTTGCAAAGTGGCAAGGCCTTGAACGCTGAAGGTCTTGCCATCTAGCGGGTCCGCAGTCCGGAGCTCTGGCTCCTAGCTTTTCCCTGTTCAGGGCCTTTTTCATGACAGCGCAGTGGCCTTTGGCGCTGGAGCGGCCTGCCTGGGCCCCCATCAGGTCCCTTAGCTCCTGACAGTAGGGGAATGAGACTGACCATGCGCACGCGCTTCCTCCTGCCCGGAGGCAGGTGCAGTGGTGCCTGGCTCACCACACAGCCCACGGTGACGTTCCCACCCCAACACTACAAATGTCCCATCTGTGTCCCGGAAACACTGCAAATTACTATTTATGGGGTCACTGAGCCTTGGGGTTTCTTCCAAACTCAGGAAAACAAAGGGTCCACCCAATTTGAACCCCGTGCCTACCAAACTCCATTCCTTCTCCGGATTTTGACAGTGAAATCTGTGACTGCCAGTCAGCTCATTGGTTAGTAGAGTAGAGCTGGTATTTATGAACGGTTAATAAGACAATTGATGACAAAAACATATCTATTAGGCTTTTCAAAATCTTGAAAATAGCTCTAAGACAACTCCAACCTCTCCACCCCCTCCTTCAACGAGGGTCCATGGCAGGGAAGGGAGCACACTCTTTTCTATGTTGGTTCACTTGTGCCTAATAACTCTCTTACCCTCATTCCGTGGGTTACTCTTTACCATTTTAGTCTTGCTTCTTGCCCTGACGCCTCTAAAGCTCAGCTGCACACCTGCCAGGAGCCACCAGCACAGCCCCAGACTTGCCTCTGCCTCCCAGCAGCCGACCCAGAGACGGCTGGCGCCTCTGCCCCTGGCCGGCGAGGTCTGTACAGAAACAGCCACACTGGCAATGTGGTTCCGGCTGTTGTGGGACACCGTGGCAAAGGGGACAGGCGCCAGCCCAGAGCTTTATTTTGCAGATACTGACATGGCACAGATGCCTCCTCACAGCCCTGCTGGCGGGCAGCGGACCTGCACCCCACATCTGTAGGATTCTGTCAGGAGGAGGGAGAGAAGACCCCATAGCGGGACCCCATTACGTAAAACCTTGGCCTCAGAGGAAGGGTTTACAGGATAGCAGAGAGGCCCAGGGGGCCACATGGCTTCCAGGCCCACCCAACCTCTTCCACCTCTCAGTGGAGAAAGCCAGGTGACAAGGACACGGGCATGGGCCCTGGGAAGGCTGTGGCCAGGAAAAAGCCTCAAAGGTTAGCCAAACACGAGGGCTCAGCGATCCTTTCTGAGCTTAGGAGGCAGGCAGCTGCTGGATGGGAGAGTGGGAGTGCGCTTGCCCCCAGATGAACCCCTGGGGCTGCTGCTGCAGGAACCCACAAGGGTCGAGGTGGCAGCCCCAGAATCAGAGGCCAGACTGACGAAGCGTGGCAGGGGCTGTGCGTGAGGCCTGCAGGCCAGGTTGGTGCTTGCAGGCAGGTTCCAGGCCCCCCAAGGCAGAAAGCAAGCAGAGGAGGGGCAGAGGCGGCGAAGGGAGAGACCTCCCCATCCTAGACTCACCCTCTTCCTCGGGGCACTGTCCTCCTATGAATGCCTCACACTCCAAAACATCTTTAGTCTGGTTCTAACTGGTGTGGCTCAGTGGGTTCGGCACCATCTGGCCAAGTGAAGGGTCACTGGTTTGATTCCTCCTGGTCAAGGCACATGCCAGGGTTGCAGACTGATCCCCTACTGGGGGCATGGGAGATGCAACCGATCGATGTTTCTCTTTGCAATCTCCCTCTTTCTTCCTCCCCTCCCCGCCAAAAATAAATAAAATCTTTAAAAAAGAATCTTAAGTCTGTTGAGGACCCAGTCTGAGTGTGCCAGACTCTCTGGGAGAGCCTCCAAGCACCAGAGTGATGTGCTGGTTCCCTCACTGCTGCCATACACAGACCACCACCGACCCAGCGGTTTAAAAGAACACAGTGTATAGCTTCACAGTTCTGGAGGTCCGAGGTCTGGTGTGGGTCACGCAGGACAAAAATGACTCACCTGCTGCCTGGGACCCTTTCCGGAGGCTCTGAAGGACCTCCTTCCTACCTGCCCACACTGGCAGCAGAGTTCCGTCGCCTGCAGCTGTGGCAGGGACCGAGGTCCCCATGTGCTTCCTGGCTGTAAACTGAGGGTTGCGCCCAGTCCCTACAGGCCACTGTGTTCCTTGGCTCCTGGCCCACCTTCTCGACCTCCAAAGCCAGCGCAGGCAGGCAGGCAGCGGGGCAGAGTCCTCAGGTGGCATCTCTGGGATGACCGTCATCTGCCTTCCTCATCTGCCATCCACCATAAGGACTCGTGACCACATGGGGCCCACCAGGTGACCTACCACTTCAACACACTTACCTTTCATCACATCTGCAAAGTCCCCTGTGCCAGGTAAGGTATATTCAGATTCTAGGGATTAGGGCATGGACATCTCGGGGAGGACATTACTCTCCTGGCCACCCACCTTAATTTGATAAAAACTGAGGCTCAGAGAAGCTGGATGACTTGCAGAAGGTCGTAAAGTAAGTGGCCAAACCAGGCCTCGAACCCAGACCTCTCTGCCTCCCAGTCTGCTGCTCTCGACATTCCAGTGGCAGCCACGGCTGCCATCTGCCCCTCGCCCGTGTGCACACCAGCGCCGCCAGCCAGTGCCCCTGAGACTCGGGATGGGGCCGAAGCCCTCAGACATAGAAGAGGCGTTTGGGAGTACAGGGAGCCTCACGTTCTCCATAGGGAATAATGGCCCCAGCATCCGATTCAGTTAGAGGTGAGAGAGGGGCACTGAAATGTGACCACATTTAAGACCTAGTCACCACACTAAGAACCAAAGGAAGAACAGGGTTCAAAACTGACAGGTCACTTGCACCCTAAACTCTCTCTCCACCCCCAAGTGTGTGACCCTAACCATGTCCATGCATGCTGCTGTCTCCTAGGACAAGGGGGACCGCTGTCCCTTTGCGTTCCAGAAGCATGAAAAGTGGGGGACATCCAAATCAAAATCCTTGGCAGGACAGTGGAATTACTATAGAAACTTAAGACAGCTCTTTTCTCCTGGGGTCCCATTCTTGCTACATCGCTACCTTAGGGCCTGATCGGTGTTCATGGCAACCCAGGCCAACCGAGGACCAAGCAGCTTGGAGTGCTCTGCTGGAGATGTGTCAAAGGCAAAGCCTCCCAGAGTGAGGCAAGGCACAGGGGTGACGCCGTAGTTTGGGAGAGGATGGCCATAAGGCCCCTCCCCCCAAAGACAAGGGAGCTGTTGAGGTATCTGCAGGTGCCAAGTGTATGCCCCCCACGCCGTCGCACCCGATCCTGGACTAGGTAGGCCCTTCAGATCCCACCTGGGCTGCCCCTCCCCTGGCCGACACCCCAACCTGTGAGTACCTCGCAGCATTCTAGGCGCTGTCCCTTCAGGCACAGACACACAAAGCCAGGCCTGTGTAGAAGCAAACAAGCCTTTCGGGAGGCAGGTGACCAGCTCCCCACCCTTCAGGGAAGCAGCCATGGGCAGGAGCTGAACTTGATACAGGATCCAGGCACTGAGCCCCACAGGCATCACGGGACACCACACGAGAAGGCCAAGAAGGATTAGACAAAGGGAGGGAGAGCAGGGTCCACCTTGAGCTTCTGTGAACATGAATCAGGAAACGAGAGCCGTGCAGCGGAGGCTTTGGGGAGATGTGTGTTCCGATGCCTGGAGCCTAAAGCCAACCACACCCTAGAGCCCCTGGCTCTCACCCGGCAGCTCTGCCTCCATCCCGGCCCCTGGAGTCCTGGCAGCCTTGGCTCCACGGGGGACGCTGACCCTGTGTCTGTTCAGAAATCACGCAGCTCACCCCAGCAAAGGGAACACAGAGGAGAGCTGGAGCTGTCCTCCAGGGGTGCGGGCGGCAGGTCTGAGAGCTCCTTCCAGACACGACGTCAGGACTCTGCTCCACGCAGTGCATCGCCCAGCTAAGGAAGCCACCCCAGCCCCCCAGGAAGGGCCCTAGGGATGAAAGAGCAGTAAATCTCCCAAGCTAAGAAGGGGAAGGGACAGAGAAACAGCCGGGAGAACAAGAAACCCATAAGCATTTATGGATATAGTGATAAAAAGAATGGAGCCCTCCAACCAGGAAAGGCAACGGCACCTGAGAAATGGCTGCAGCCCACCGACTGCTGAGGGGGAAGGCTGACCCCAACGGGGGCCAGACAAACACACAGAGCCCTGAGCCTAGAGACCAGCGGCGCGACCAGCGGTGCTAGAGAAGATGAGCACGAAAGGCTGCCCAGGGACCACAGGCTTTGTTTTCCCACGAAGCCAGAAAACATTTCAAATCACGAAAGCACACAGAGAAAAGAGCCCTCCCAGCCAGCAAGGAGACTGTCTGAGCACCGGAGACCTCCCACCGGCAGCCAGCCAGTGGGACCCTGAGACCAGCCAAGCCCCCTTCTCCACACCCCACCCAAAAGCAACCTCTGCTGAAGCGTGGAGGCAGAAGCCCAGGGCAAAGTCACCATGAGTTTCTGAGGCAAGATTTAAATAGACTTTATTGTTACAAGGGGTAGGGGGGTCCTACCAAACAGGGCCTTATAAACTGAAATATGTGGTCCCAGGATGTCCCGATGGAGAAATCAAGGTCACGATCGCAGAAGAGGTCATTGTAACTGAAGGATGGGCTCTGGGGACACGAGCCGGGAATGCAGCGGGCACCATCAGGACGGGCAGGGTGGTCGGGTCCCAGGGTGAGGGAGAGGGCAGCCCCCTCACTCCCGCTTCTTGTAGCTCTCCAGGTGAGACAAGACCCAGCCGGCCGGCAGGAGGATGCACAGGAAGCAGGAGGTGAGCCCAATGGCGAGATCCTACACAGAGCACAAGAGAAGGAAGCCCCGGGTAAGGAACCCCCCCAGGCCTCTGGCCTTCTGAGCGGCCTTCCCAGGCAGCCCAGCCCAAAGGCCCCCTCAATGAGTGAAGACTCAGGCTCCAGAAGGAAGAAACATAGCAGGTCTAAGGCTCCCCCAGGCCTCGAGGTCAAGGGTCAAATAAGGAAGTGGGGGCCGGCAAGGTTAGTTAGGCTCCACAGAGAAATCCACCATCAGTTAATAAAGGGAAGGGATGGGAGCAACAGTTTAAACCTGCTTATGGCTGGTCTGTTGGGATCCAGGAACCTTGCATGGGCTGATCATTCTAAAAATGCACCTCCCCTTCCTCGCCTTAAAAACCCCTCCCTGCCCTGGCTGGTGTGTCTCAGTGGATTGAGCAACGGCCTAGGAACCCAAAGGTCGCCGGTTCTGTTCCCTGTCAGGACACATGCCTGACAGGGCACATACCAGGTCCCCCAGGTAGGGAGCCCTCGGGAGGCAACCACACACTGATGTTTCCGTCCCTTTCTTCTCCCTCCCTTCTCTTCTCTCTAAAAATTAATAAAATAAAAAACCCTCCCTTCCCATCTCCTTTCCAGGACTGTTGTGGAACCTTTGGGGCTGGGGATAAAAGGCTTCCTACAGCCATTTCCATATTCCCTGTAGTAGTTAAAGGTCACAGCAAAATTTGGAGTCACACTTGAGTCCCAATTCCTTCTTTGCCACTGAAGGGTGTGACTTTTGACAAGTCGACACACTGCTCCTAAATTCCAGTACCGCTCCACGGAGTAGTAATGGCCCTTTCCTCTCGGGTCCCTGAGAGGGCTGCCTGAGACCTGCACGGCAGTGTGGGCACAGCGCCTGGCACAGCGCAGGCGCGCAGCGGGTGTCAGTCCTCAAGCGCAGCGGCCTCCCGGCTCTGCTCCTGGCTGCAGGCCGGCAGGCCTGGGTTCCGGAGACTTGCATTCGAGGCTGGGCTCTGCCATTGAGGCAAGGCATAAAGGCGCCAAACAGGAGACAGTTGTCATTAAGGATTAGACCCTCCCATATTTCTGCGAATTACAAAGACCCGCTGGGTATTCGCTGCCCCCTGCCCTACTAACTCATCGCGGTAGCAATTACTACCGTCGCTGACGAAGTGCCACCCCGTTACTTTCTATAACATCACTGCCCTCTCAGTAGTTTCTCACCAAGTGCTCACTAAGGCCCCCCGGTGAACCGACCGACAGGCTGTGACCCGGGCACTGTCCCCAGCGCCCTCCGGACACGCCCGGCCGAGCAGCGGCGCGCAGGGCGTCCTCGGAGCCGCCGAGGTCCAGCGCGCCAGACCGGGCCGGCCCCGAATCCGCCGCGGGGCTCCCGGGCCGGCCCGCTCCTCACCATGGTCCCGAGCTGCTCCCGCGGAGGCTTGGAATGGACCTGGGCACGCGGCACCAGGAGCCGCCGGGCCGGGCCCGTTAGGCCTCTCAGCAGCAGCGGCGTCAGCGCAGACATGACCGCACCGGGTGGACGGTTGACAGCCGTCAGAGTCCAAGGTCGGGAAGTCAAAATGGCTGTCCCGGACGGATTTCCGGAGCTAGGGCGCCCGGGAAAGGGAGGACCGAAAATATCACGGAAATGACGACAGGATACACCTCCCTCCCGCTCTTGTCAGTTTTTGGCGCGTTCCTCGAAACAGCCAATCGACGCCATCCTACAACCGATAGGCGGGACATGGAAGGCGGAGCAGGTCACACTCCGCCCCCAAAGCCGCCTATCTTCGTGATGGACATCTGTGGTCACCCTATCACATAAGTAGAAACCCAGATGGCACTCTTGACTCCTCCCTCCATTCATACAGCACTCGAATCTCTCTATTCAAGAGCCTCACTCTCCGCCAAGCCTCCATTATTTCTGGCCAGAAGGCCTGACGCTAAGTTCCTAAATGAACCCTCCTCTTTTACTCTCTAATTCCAGTCACCACGCAATGGCAACCCACCTTCTTGCCTTCCTCCCTTCTCTCTACATCCCTTCCTTCCTTCTTTTTAAACATAAATCTAACAAATCACACACCTACTTAAATTTTGGTGGTTCCCACTGCTTACTGGACCACGTCCCAATCTCTGGATCTCATTCTCCAGCCTCATGTCTTACCATTCCATACATTCCTCCTTGTTCACCGGTTTCTCCCACTCCGGCCGCCCCTGTCTCCACCCCACCCTGCCTTTTGCTCTTTTGCATTTTCCTTATTTCCGTAGATTTGGCCAAAAAGTTCGTTTGGTTCTTTCCCCATACGATGGCTCTAGTAATGCTTAGTTGTCTTCATGTGATAAAATTTTGTTAGATTGTATTGTGGCAACTGACATATCAGTGTGTATTTTTTAAAGATTTTATTTATTTATTTTTAGACAGAGGGGAAAGGAGAAAGAAAGCGAGACAGAAACATCAGTGTGTGGTTGCCTCTCACATGTCCCCCACTGGGGACCTGGCCCGCAACTCAGACATGTGCCCTGACTGGGAATCGAACCCGTGACATTTTGCTTTGCAGCCTGCGCTCAATCCACTAAGCTACACCAGCCAGGATCCAGTGTGTGTGTTTTTTTTAAAAAATCAAAGTTAGTGAATTTTTGTGCAGCCATTTTAATATTGAAAATGGAAGAAAATACACATTTTGGTATATTGTGCTTTATTATGTCAGGAAAGGTAAAAACAAATGCAAAAAAAGATTTGTGCAGTGTATGGAGAAGTTGTGGTGACTGAATGTGTCTTGGTACTACTGACATTCTGGACAAATAATCCTTTGCTGTGGGGCCATGTTATGAATTGGAAGATGTTTAGCAGCACCCCTGGCCTCTGCCATTAGAAACCAATAGTGGGAAACATACTCAAAATATCTAAATCAATAAAGTTACTGATGAAAATGAAAAGTATTCCCTGGTTGGTGTAGCTCAGTGGATTGAGCGGAGGTCTGTGAACCAAAGGGTCACTGGTTTGATTCCCAGTCAGGGCACATGCCTGGGCTGCAAGTCAGGTCCCCAGTAGTGGATGTGTAAGAGGCAACCACACATTGATGTTTGCTTTCTCTCCCTCTCTTTCTCCCTCCCTTCTCCTCTCTAAAGAAGAAAGGAAGGAAGGAAGGAAGGAAGGGAGGGAGGGAGGGAGGGAGGGAGGGAGGAAGGAAGGAAGGAAGGAAGGAAGGAAGGAAGGAAGGAAGGAAGGAAGGAAGGAAGGAAAATGTGTCCTTTATTTTATGGAAAAAAATTAAATGAACTTTTTTGCCAGCCAATACCCAGAACACTTTTCAACTCTTACCTACCCTCCTTTTTCAGCGCTCCAACTTCCAGACCTCCGCTTACAGCTCATTCAACAAATATTTACTAGACACCATCACCCACCACTACCACCACCACAGCACCACCCACCAACCAACAAAAGAAAAAAAAAGGAAGGAAAAAAAGTATTTACGAGGCCGTCCTGCGTTCCTGCCAGTGTTCTGAACACACGGTAAACAAGGGCTCCGTGGCCAACGAACTGTCCTTCCTGAGGGGAGAGAGGAAACAAGCGCTTAGTGAGAAGCTGGGGAGGATGCGGTGGTGTGACCAAAAGTGTCGGGGCAGCACTTTGTCAGTCAGCCTTCACTGGCCACCCAGGCCCCGTGTGGCCGCCTCGGTGCCCAGCAGCCCCCGGGGCAGCGCTACCCATAGAGTGGTCTCCATCCCTCCACAGGCGCCACCCGAGGGCAAAGTCTGCCTGGTCCACCACTGTCTCCAAAGGGCCCGCACACGTCCAACACCCAGACCTTCACGAACGCAGCCGACTGAGCAGCAGGTGTAAGGCCGACAGGAGCAGGGTGAGGAGCCAGCCATGGAGCCCACCCAGGCCTCACCTCCGCCATCTCGTTCAGTCTTCACTACAAGGTCAGGAGGGGGATGCTATCATTTCAAACGTTCTTACAAAGGTGGAAATAAGCCCGGAGAACCAGGAGACCTGCTGAAGGTCGTGCAGCTACAAGGCTGCCTGGGCAGGACTCCAGCGCAGGTGTCCCTGCTCCAACCCCAGGCTTTAACCCTCACACAAGCTGCTATGCGAGTTTCAGAAGCTGCAGGTTTGATACTGTGGGCAATCGGATAGAAGGCTGCGGCGGGGTGGGGTGACCTGGGGTGACAAGGGACTTGGAAGACGGAGCTTTACAGAAACCTCCGCCCCTGGGGGCAGAAAGGGGGCTGACAGAAAGGTGGCCATAGACCCAGAGTGAGAGCCCCGGAGGGTGGGCTGGGCCTGAGCTTCCTCTGGAGGAATGGGCTCCTAGAGGAGCTACCCAGGGCCCTCCCTCCCCCCCTTCCCCCTCCCCCTCCCCCACCCTCTGCACCACAGGCAGGGGATTGGTAATGTCCAGCAGTCTCAGGCCAGCCCCACCCCCACCTACCTGGCTCCCTGCCTCCCCCTGTCCCAGGCTCTGGCAAACAGCCCAGAACAGATTCTTCCAAATCCCTCCTTCCCCATCTCAAAGGGCAGAGCCTAAGACCACAGGGCTGGGAGGTCCAGGCCCCAGCTGCCTGCCTCTAGCTAGGAAGGGACAGGAATCTCCCTACTGTCCTAACTGGGCTTTGTCAAGTGTGCGTCCTAGGAACAAAGAAGTAACTCCCGGAAGAGAGCACAGCCAGCCAGGAGGCCCGGAGATACCTGAGGACGGGACTGGCCTTTCTGTCGTTCCTGGGGTTACTCCCTGAAGAAACGCACGTCCCCCTCGTTCACAGGGGCTGGAGGAGAAGGAACAGGAACATCGGACCCAGGGCCCCCTCGACATGGCTTCTCTCAGAAGCACCACTGGAAAGGAAGAAAGAGGCTGGCAGGGGTTAAGTACCATTCCAGGGCAGGGGTGGCACCTAGGTCTGTTGGATGAATACTAACGCCTCTGCTCTGCCCCCAGCCCCCCAGCAGCCCACCCCTCCCAAAGAGCAGAGACAGGCCTTTAACGGGAGAGTAGTGAGCGCTGCGGTGCTTTACACAACCGAACACCATAGGGAGTGAAGAGAACAGACCACAGCTAGGACAAGGCCGGTTCCCACAGACGCAGCGCTGAGGCGGAGGCCTGGCGTGGAAGAGCAGACCGTGTGGCCCTACGGATACAAAGAGCAGCGGGCAGGACCAAGGGGAGGCGTGTGCCCGGTGGCGGGGGGGCCTGGGGGAGGCCTGCTGGCACTTCTGGGTGCTGGTTACACAAACGTGTTCCCTCTGTGATTAGTCTATCGGAGCGGCTGGGCAGGCACAACCTGTGCCCATTTCTCTGTGCCTGTTACACCTCGGTTCCAAAACAGACAAGAAAAAAAGCAAGAAAAAATGTGAATTGACCTTTATTTTTCCTTTAAGATTTTATTCATTTATTTTTAGAGAGAGGAGGAGGGAGGGAGAAAGAGAGGGGGAGAAGCACTGGTCCATTGCCTCTCTCCCACGCCCAGACGAGGGCCGGGATCTGCGACCCAGGCACGCGCCCCGACCGGAAATCGAACCGGCAGGCAGCCCTTTGCTCCACAGAACAACGCCCAGCCAACTGAGCCACGCTGGCCAGGGCCGATCTTGTCTTTCTAAAACAAAAAAACGACATCTAGAGAAGTGGATGTGCACAGATGAAAGGCAGAAGGGAACACAAACTGTCAACAGTGGTGTTGTCTGAAGGGGACGTTTTTCGGTCTTTTCCTCCCGTGTTTTCCAAGACTGCGCACTGGGCACTCACAGCAATAGAATAAGCAAGCAAGAGAGGGGTCTCCCCAGTCCAGTGAGGGAGGTCGCCCATGGGTGACAGACTCCCTGGGACTTGGGGACATGAACAGGCTTCCACGGGACGGGGGTCTCCTCTAACATCCTGACAACGGCTCTACGCACTCTCCCGCCCCAGGACCACACACTGTGCTTGGATAGCTGGGAGTGTCTTGCTGCATCGGCGGGCGGGGAGGGGGCCCAGAGGTCCCAGCCTGGGGTTCTGGTTTTGACCGAAAGACCCAAGCTGGCCCTCCCACTCTCCCTCTCCTGAGTGGGGCAATAGGAATAGATCTCAAACCTTAGGGATGGCTTTGCCAGGGGAGCTGGTCCCTTCTCCTGAGACCAGCTTTGCGGGCCGGGCACCCAGGCCCTGATGGCCATGTCTGGGCCAGGAAGATCCCAGGTCCCCTCCCAGAGCTGACCCCAGACCCATGGGGGCCAGGCCAGGCTCCAGCCCACCAGCTGCTCTGTCCAAACATGGAGCTCATGAGTCCTGCGGACAGGCCCGACCACAGCCCTATGGGGCCAGCAGGTGAAAATCCCTTGGTGGGGCCAGCACCCACCCCCCTGACACACATATTTTCTGGAGTTTACTGCCTCCCAGAGCATCTGACACAAAGCTGGTGTGGACCTGAGCTAGGAGCCTCTCCTGCCCTGTTCAGTGGGTGCCAGGCACTGAGCCCCAGGGCTGGCCAGGGGAAAGGCTGCCCGGGAAGAGCCCACTCAGGACCTCGCTGAGGGCAGCTGCGGCCTCTCTCTAGGCCTTGAGGGGCTGTCTCCCTGGGGCAGGAGCACTAGCCGGAGCCCCAGCAAAGTCTTGGAAGGTGCTCGGTGACCAAAGGAGGAGGGCCCAGGGTGGGGTCTTGGCCACAGGTCCAACACTGATCTGCAGGGTCACCTCCCTTCACCTGGGAATGCAAAAGGGAGAAATTCTTGCAAAGTCCAGCAAGAGGAAGGGACAGGAGGGGCTGGCCCCTTTAGAAGAGAAGGGTCGGTTAGGGAAATTGTGTCCACATGGGTCTGGGGCGTCCCCAACAAGGAGCAAGGAGACCCTGGGGTGCAGGTGGGGCTGGGATGACATAGGGTCCTGGCGGGAGGGTGTCTACTCCTGGAGCACTGCTGTTCCCAGGCTCCAGAAGGCCAGGGGCAGGCCCTGATCTGACCGAAGAGTGACATGGACGAGGTGCAGAGACAGTGGCGGGTGGGGAGGGAGCCGCTGCTCCCCTGGTGGAACACCGCTGTCCTGTTGTCCTGGCTGGAAGAGCCCCAGGGTCCTGCAGCCCTGGAAGGTGGGCTGCCGAGGCACAGGGAGGGCGTGGGCCAGGGGTTGCCTGCCCTCAGGGAGCCAGGTGATGGTTAACCCCTTCCGGCCTGCAGCCCACAACCAGTGGCCATGTGTGACAATGACTGGGTCGCCTCGCTCACGTTTGACAACTCCAGCTTGGCAAAGGCTGGCTTCACCCGGGAAGGGGGCCCTCCTTGGTGGGTCAGCCTCACCAGCAGCTGCTGCTCGATACTGGTCTTCGCAGCTGGTCCCCGTCCTTCCTGGCAGCCCCCAGCATGGGACAGAAGTAACCCGTCTCCCAGGCGGGGGCGACCTGCTGGTCGGCACCAAGTCAGGTTTGTCCTTGGGGCCTGGAGAGGACCAGCAAGGCAACTACAGCTCCGTCCTGAAGAGTGACGCCAGCCTCCATGGCCACCTGGACACCAATGTCCTGTCGGGGGACAACCTCGTCCCGGGGGCTGCGCTGGCCCAGCACGATGAAGATCAAGGTAGGGAGGAGCAAGGGGGCCTCCCATTTGCTGGGGGGACTGTGGGGGCAGAAGGCTCTCCTCAGGAAGCAGAAGCCCAACCTCACCCCAGATCTGCAGGGAGGCAGCTTGGGAGGGCAGGGGGCTGGGAGTCAGGCTGACAGCACAGTTCCTTAGCTTGCCGCCATGTCCGCCGGGGCTTTCCCGAGCTTCGGGTCACCTGACCCTTTTGTGGGGTAACACACCTGCCCTGTGCTCACATCTTGGCTCTGCCATGGACCACGAGGGCCGTGAACAAGTTACTTTACACTCTGGGGCTCTCGTGACCTTTAGATTGAGGACCCGAGCATTGGGAGGGGACAGGGCTGTGGTCAAGTCAGCACTCCTCCCTGCCCAGCACATGGGAGCACCGAGGGGGCGCTGCCACCAAATGCCCATTTCCTCCAGGCACGGCCAAGAGGCAACAGGTCTGCTTCGGGCTGTCAGGTCTGCGAGGCTCCTCCCCAGCACCTCCCCGTCCGCCCGGACCTGGTCCTCAGGAAGCAGAGGGATGGCACCAGGGAGGAGGCACAAGAAACTGCACTGACCCTGCCCGCGTGTGAACGGACCACCTTCAGAGCCTGGCGGCAGAAACCAGCTGGCGCCTAGCTTCCTCCACTGGGAAAACCAGCTCAGGCTGCGACCTCTCACCAGGCAGCGGAGCCTCTTGCTCCCCCTGCTGGCTGGTGTGGCATTTCTGCAAGTGCCCCTGGAGCTGCAGCAGGAGGGAAGGGTGGAGGCAGAGGCTGGAGCAGCCTCTGTGGAGGACCAAGGAGGGGCCCTGGCCACTTAGGAAGGTAGAGGGCGCAGAGGATGAAGGAAGGGCCTGCTCTTTCCGACTTTGGCCATTTACTATCGGATGGTCATTCCAAGGTTTTCCTGGCCTGGGATTAAAACAGCCTTCAGGGAAAAGGAACTTTTTGTCACATGAGAAATGTGTTGTGTGATTAGCCAGCAGAATGCGCTCTCCCTTCCCAAGGTCTCTCTTTGTGCCTCAAAGATAACACAGCTGCGAAGACCACCCCCTGGGGGTGCCCCTGCCCACAGGGCTGAGGCCTCGACCTCCTGGGAGCCGCCCGGCAGCAGTCAACCCTGCTCCTCTTCCCCCGGACGACTGACCCTCTGGAGCGCACACGCTCGGGGAGCAGCAGACGTGATGGCCACGCAGCAGCACGACAGGCCAGCCAGTCAGTGTGCACGGGAAGTGCTCCTGAGCCGAGCTCCCGGCCCACTTCCTGCCTGTCCTGCTGGCCTGGGATGGATGGGCAGGGGTCCCGCCTGGGAGAGAAGCTGTACGGCTGCTCCGTCCCCCAACCCACCACCAGCACTTTCCTGCCCTTTCAGGCCTGACGACAGTTGCCCTTCCGCTGAGTCTGTGCCTTTGGTGAGCAGAGGGACAAGGGGGCTGGAATCTTTCTAAGAGACAAAGAATACCCGGAGTGATCCACTCAAGTAGAAGGGAGAAACACTGGCACGCTTGTCCACCCAGCTCCACATGGAGCCTGAAATCAGTGTGCAGGCACAGACATCAGGCGTGACAACACTTGGGACTCTCTGGGAGGCAAAGCAGGCACCCCTCAGACCTCTGACCTCTACGCAGGGCTTCTGGGAAGTGGCAGAAACACATGTACTTGGTCTCAGTTCCCAGCTCTGGCTGCCCGCCCCAAATGCCCAAGGCTCCCTCAGTCTCAGGCCTCCCAGGGAGCAGGCCTGGTGGCACCGCGCATGCGCGCAGTAGGACTGGTGTGTCCTGGGGCCCCGTGCCACCCAGCACCCCAGCAGCAGGCACCACCCCAGCAGCTGAACAAAGCATCTTTTATTTGTGACATACAAATACACCAATGCAAAGAGATTACTTTTCCCCTTTGATTCCAGTGATAACAAGTTGCTAAAGAAAAAATATATATCAAGGAGTTTATCTTTAAAGTTTTCTCTAAAAAGCCCAGAAAGGGTTAAAAACCGTACACAGGTCATATGCACATTTGACATCAACAAAAACTTGAAACAGAGTGAATGCAACTAAAAGAAAAATCTTTAAAAACATTTTAATGTGCCCCGAACAACAAACAAAAAAGCCTGGCAGAGACCCACTAGGGTCCTCGGAGCCGAGCCGGGCAGTGGAGAAAGTCCCCACGCCGCCTGGTGGCCGGGACCCAACGGGCTTGACAGACAAGAGTGACCTGCAGGTCTCAGGCAGTGCCTCGTGCACCCCAGCCCTGACCTCCCCAGCAGCCCTTCGGGAACTGGCCAGCAGAGCCCCAGAGGGCAGGGCATGGCACCGAGTGGCCACCAATGGAGACAGTGCCAGGTGTCTCATGACCACAAAGGGACACGGACACTGAACTCACTTATGTGGGATTTACACTGGGGGTTCCTTTCGGTCCCCTTGAGTGGGAGGTATCAAAAATCCATGATCTAAGACAATAAATAACTGTTGTTCCACGTCCTTTGAGGAATGGGGATCAGAGGAAACACTCTTGCTAAACTTGCTCTGTCGTTACGTTATTCCCAGAAGCCCACCAGTGCCCTTCCAGAAACGGACACTCTCCCCGGGGGGAGCCAGCAGGACAAGGGCGCAGGAGGGCTAGTTCCAGTGTAAAGCCATGGTGCCCTCTCCAGGGGATGACCAGCCCACTGTGGGCAGGGTCGAGAGCAAGGCGGAGCGCTCCGCAGGGGCGGGGCTGGGCGGAGGAGGCCATGAACAGAGACCTGGCAGCAGCAGGGACCTGGGGAGAAGCAAGAACAGTGCCGGGAGACCCATCAGCACAAAGCCCGAGTCAGGGCAGGAGGTGGGCTGGGAGCAGACAGACTCCGAGGCAGAAGGCCCCACAGACCTCCAGGGCAGCAGCTTCACAAAGGCTAGGACTTAGAAGACACTCCCTAAAGCAGAGCCCAAGGACGTGTACAGGGACGTGTTGGGTATTTTCTCCTGGAATAGGATTTGGTCATCTTTTTTCCCTGGAGGGGGAGTAAGGCCTAGAGACCAGGGAATGCAAGCTCTGACCCCACACCCTCTCTATCCTGTGAGAAGAGAGGAAAGCGCCCCCTCACCACCACCAGTCCACTGCCACGGTGGGCGGGGGGCACCTAGGCATTCCTGCTGCGGCCTGAGCTGCCCACCAGGGCCGTGGCACTAGTGCCTCACTGAGGCGGCGAGGGGCGAGGCTGGGGAGTGCAGGCCGGGCCTGCTGCTGGCTGGGGGCTCTCTGCAGAGGGAGGACGCTCCACCTGCAGGGAGCTATCAGCACCGAGACGTGAGAGGGACTGGCATGGGCTCTGCCAGCAACGAGGCCCTTCTGGGGGAAGGCGAGGGGCTCCCTGATGTTACTTCCCCCTTGAGAGTGAGAACGGAGGTATCTGGACTGGGGGTGGGGGCAGGGGCAGAGCAGTGAGGGACAATGGAGAGGACAGGCGGCGCCTCTGACATTTCCCTGTGAATGAAAAACTCAAGCCGCTGCCACAGATCAAAAGGTAAGCTTAGGATACAGCAAAGTCCAAAAGCAGCAAAGTCTGAAAGCCCAAACAAGCGGTGGTGGCCCCACTCGACACCTACTCCCGGTCCCCTCGGCCTCTCTCGCCGGCAGCGGTGGAGGGCGGGAGGCAGCCTTCTTCCCAGAGTCGGCTGGGCTGGTCCCCTGGAACGACTCCACTCTGAACTGTGGATCCACAAAAGCACAGCTGGCAAGCGCTCCCTTGCTTCCCTGTGTCGCAGCACAAAGACCTACCCACCGTCTCCATCAGAGCACTCCGTCCACGAGGCCCGAGGCTCTCTGAAGCCTCTCTGTGCCCAGACCTTACTCCAAGTCCATTCCTCTTTGAGGACCAGCCACACCCTGACCCAGGGCTCCAGGACTTCCATAAAGGTGGGTACGAACACTCCATTTGTCCAATCGTGTGAGTGGGGAAGGGGGTCTGTCAAGAATCCAGCTGCAGCGGAGTCAGGGAATCTCGAGCTCAGGGCCACAGAGCGGAGGAGAGGGCAGCCTCCGAGCGAGGATGACTCCGTGCCCAGGCCTCCACTGACTCTTCCCGCAGTATCCTCTCCTTCTGGCTCCGCCCTGGCACCCTGCTGTTCCAGGAGAGCGAAGGGGTAGCCTGGCACGTGCAGGGCTGAGGAGGCCACAGCTCTGAGGGCGCCTGACAAGCAGCGTGAGGCTGGGAGAGGGCCGGCCTTGGAGAGAGGACTCTGGCTGAGGAGCTCAGTGGCAGCAGCCACCACAGTGCCCACCCGCATGGGAATGCTGACTGTCCCCGAACTTGGTCCTCCGGCTCAGGATCTCATAGGAGCAGTCCTCCCCACAGCAGCCGGACATGCTGGGGGAAGAGTCATCGATCTCAAACCTGCAGGGCGGGTGGGAGGAAAGGACTGGCTGCAGGGAGCAGACTCCAGGCCCGGGGCTCCCCCACCAGCCACACTCACAAACCCTGGCAGTGAGGGTGCAGGAGGTGGGTGGGAGAGCGAGCCCAAAGGCATCTCGCCCCCTCCACCTCTACCCCCGTGAGCACTGGCCAGGAGGAACTCGGGCAAGGACCAGGAATGAGGCAGTGGGGCGGGTCCCACACCAGGGCCCAGCTCCTTACTGCAGTGCTTCTCTGAAGAACTGGTAGGCACCGCGGTTGTGCTTGAACACCGTCAACATGACCTTCTTCATCTGCGTGCTGAGAAGGCAGAGACGGCGCGGAGTTGCGCCTCCTCTCCCGGTGCGTCTGCCTACAGCACTCCAGAGCCCCAACTACAGCCGGTCTGGGCCCCCACGGCACCCAGGGCTTCCCTCCGGCAGGGTGCCGATGAGACTGAGCAGGCAGTCGCCCTCCCCACCCGACTGGCTTCTCCACTTCCTCTCTGCATCCCCATTTGCAACTGAAGCGAATGTACAAAATCTGGGGTCACAGCAGGACAAGGAACTCTGACTGAGGGAGGTCTAGAAGCCTTTCCTCAAAAACCTTCCCCTGAGCCTGGTCCTTCACGGAGCGCACAGCACAGTGGACACCGCAGGCAGCTCTCTCCGACTGCCCCACACGTGGGGTGGCCCTTACCTATTGGCCACAAGCTGCAGGATCTGTATGAGGAACTTCCCCAGGCCTCTCCGCCGCACCTTGCTCTCCAGTTGCACTTCGTAGCTGGGTGAAGGAAGCAGAGACCAGACGTGGAGAGGCCGCTGGGCCGGTCGGGAGAAGGTGTGCCCCTGGAGGCCAGTGGACTTAGACTGTCCTCGGACAGAGCCACCGGCTAGAGGGCCTAGGGCAGCACCAGCGTCTCCTCCCCACGCCGCCCCGAGCCAGGCTCCTACCAATACAGGACTTCATCCCCGCACTCCACGTCAAACCGGAAGTGAGAGAAGGCGACGGGGATGGAGCTGTTTTCCCAAGCAATGAGGTACCAGGCTCGGTCATCCGTCATCTCCTCCCGTTTTTCTCTGTCCTTCCAGCCCCACTCGCTCTGCTCGTACCTGGGAAAGCGCAGGCGGTCAGGACCGGGGATGCAGGGAGAGGCCAGCCAGGGGAGAGGCCCCGCGGCCAGGGCACGCTTACATGGTCTGCATGTTGGTTTTGGTCAGGTCGAAGGCCCAGTCCACGGTGGCCGGCTGCAGCCCAGACACCCGCTTACACTCGATGGAGACGTTTAACCTGAGAAGAGTGGGCGGCGTCTGAGGCCGGCTCGCCCTGCTCAGCCCGTGCGCCCGAAGCCTGGTAGGTGGCAAGCCTGCTCTCACCTAACCCGCCCCGAAGAGGCCAGCCGAGCACGCCTCCCTGGTCACAGCTAGAGAGGGGCCTGCGAAGCCACCAAGCCTTCTGGGCCAAGATCGTTAACTGTCATCACAGGCCCACCCCCTGACCACAAGGTCCCTTCCCGCCTCCCCTGCACGGGCCTTACCAGACTGGCACTTTATAAAGCTCTGTCCCTCTCTGCCACCCCTCTGTCTCTCCACCCTCTCCCATTTCCTTAGTCCCGGCATTTTTCCTGTTGCTTTAATTCTGAATGGACACCTCACTAGACTCCCAGGGGGCCTCTTCCTCATCGTCACTGTCCTTTGAAAGCATCGGGGTGACTCAGGCCCTCCAAAGAGACCACGGCCTACACCCCCTTGTGTGGAGTGCTGGTCAGCTGCGAGGGCACGGCAGGTGCTCTCGGCTGACCAAACAGAGCGCAACACATCCAACCCCACAGGGCTTCCCTAAACTAACAAGTGCTGTAGGCGGTACGGTATCTTAATCTGCCATTTACTCTAAATGAAACTAAGTAAATTACAGCTAAATGCTTTGGCCAAACTGTGAAATCACGTTTTCTAGGTAGTGAGTGCCACATTCCGAAGGTCCTTACGGAGGACTTCGGTGACCTGTGACATGACCCCACTATGGGGGGGCGGGCGGGGGCCGTCCCACCCCCTACGCCTGCTGACTGGCATGCCGGGTGATCTGCACATTGCTCGGACTCCTAAATTTGTGACCTCCTGGCTCAGAGCACACTTCCCTTCTTTGCAGAGTGACCACGTGGCAGTTAGAAATGCCAGACACGGCGCTGTGACGGTCGTAGCTGCGTGTTTAGGAGGGCAGTCCGCACAGTGACCACGAGGCGGCCAGAGACTCCCAGACACAGCGCTGCGTCGGTGGCAGCTGCACATTTTCAGGAGGGCAGTCCGCACGCACAAGAAACCCCGCCACCCGAGTTCTTCCAGTTCGCGAAGGCGGGACCACAGCCGCACCAACCACGCGTGACCCCGGGCACTGAGGGGCCCGCAGTCAGCGGGCAACGACTGCTTCAGAGCCGGTCCGTGTTCCTGGGGGTCGGCGGGAATGTGAACTTCAGGGCACTAAGAGCTACATGGTCAGGGACCTCGGAATTCTGTCAAAGGCCCCCCCACCCTGGAAGCCAAATGACAAAGCCACCAGAGGAACTGTGCTGCATCTGATCCCAGACAGGGAGAAGAATGAATAAATTAATGTGATACTATGAAATTCAGGTACAGCTATGAAAGGCAAGCATAATGTTGCCAACTAGTCTTTGCTTCGTAACTCATATATTTGCATTTGCCTGTCTCGTTCATTAAAGTACTCACACCAGCTGCTATTTACAGAGCTGGATAATTCTCTTTCCTCCTAAAAACCACCTTGCAAGTCTGGCATCTTCATTGAACAGATTAAAAAAATAAAAAGTGAGGCTTGCAGAGTGTGACTGACTTGTCTAAATATAGTAAATAAGAGGCACAGTTACGATTCAGACCCACAGCTGTGAGTCTCTGAAACCATAACCCCCTTCTCCTCCTCAGCCAGCGAGGCTCTGGTCAAACCGACCCTGCCCCTACTTCATACAGCGAGAGGAAGGGGGGAGGGGCTGGAACCCAGACCCTGCGTGAACTGCATCGGCAATGATGGCAACCCCATCGCGCCAAAGCCAGCTCCGGGCAGGGAGTCCGGTCCTCCTGCCGACTCCCTCAGGAAGATACTTTTATTAGGCCCCTTTCTGATTAGAAAACTGAGGCACAGAGAGGTTAAGAAAAATTTCTTAATTTTCCAGGGTCACAAAGCCAGTCAATGGCTCTTAACTTTTATGCTACCACTGAGGGAAAGAGCATGGAATTGGGAATTAAAAGCCTGCTCAGCTGCCAGAGAGACACTCTGTAAGCTCAGAAATCTCCTTCAACTTCTCCGAGCCTCAGTTCCCCCGTATAAAAGGAGAGTCAGCCTGGATGACTTTTCAAGGGTGTCAGCCCTGTGGTTCTTTGTCCAGAGAGAATAACCAGTCCCGGGGGCATCAGTCTGTGATGACGCAGTCTCTGCTCCCTCTCGAATCCTTCTGTCACCCTGACTGGGGGACTTTATATTGGCAGGGCGCGGGCCACCGCTTCTACTTTTCCCTAACAGAGGAGAATGGGAAGGCCCGAGTCTAAGGAAGCCCACTCTGGGGGTGGGTTCCTGGAGGCACTCGGAGATGGAGTGCGGGACACTCACCCATTGCGGTCGTATTTCTTGAACACTGGGAAAGCCTCCAGAGGGTCCCTGAGCTGTGGAGGAAGGAACAGAGGAATGGTGCTCGCGGCACAGCCCTCTGCAGGTCAGACCTCACGTGGACTCTCCCTCTGCCTCAGCTCCGAAATCACAGGTAAGGGGGAGGCTTGGGAGAGGGCGCCGGAGAGAGCTGTCAGCTTCATCTGACAGGCGGGGAAGACGCTTCACCAGCCTGAACCACGCGCCGGCCTGCAGGCCTCCAACCAGCTCGCCGCTCACCCACCAGAGCAGGAGAGGCCGACCGACCACCTGTGTACCTCCAAGAAGCCCCGGCTAACCACCCGGTCAAAGCTCAGAATGGAAAATCATGTCCCTGAGCCACGGACTTTTAAATATGGCTTGTTTTCTGCGTGGGCTGAGAGAACACGGAAGGGACATGAAGGGGGCAGGAAGGATGGCCGGCATCTCTCTGGGTCAGTCTGCAAGCCGGCCCATCTGGGCTCAGATTCACAGCCACTCCTCTCCCGACGGAGGCCCTGGAAACCAGGTGGCTGAATCTTCCCGGTCCCAGAACAGCTTCTGGTACTTCATGGGCAGTCAGTACATGTTTGCAGGGATGAATGAGAAAATTAAACCACATTTTACAAGGGAAGTTTCCTCCCCAAAACACAAAATCCTAACAAAAATTTCTCCGGACCCTCTACTGGCCAGGAGACCCACAGAGAGGAGCTGCCTCGTGCATTCGGGTCCACCTTTTCCTGCACATGCAGGCCAGTCTCTGGCCCACCTGTTAACTCTCCCAGACCCATTAGGGCTTGTTTTCCTCAGTAAGGAGACAGCAGATATGGGTGGGTAGTAACACAATTCTGCCACAGGGTGGCGCCAAAAGAAGGAAAATGAAAAACCAAGCAGCAGTTCCAGGGGGAAGGGACTGGGAAGGAGGGGAGAGTCACCCTGTTGGCTGCCTCCACTTTGGCACAGACAGCATCCATGGCTGCTCGCTCCTCCAAACGCTTCTGCTTCTTCTCCTTTGCTTTGCTCGACTTCCTCTGCAACAGAGAAAAAGCAAAGCTGCCTTGAAGCACTTCAGCCAACCAAAGGCTCTGTCTCCGCACCCAGCCCACTGACCTGGCCTCCGCAGCAGCAGCTCCCAGTGCGGGATGCCGCTCACTGGACGCCGTGGTTTCCTGGTCAGTACGAGTACTGACCCTGGGGACTGCTGGGTCACTGTGAACACGCAGTGGGAGCCAGACGCAATGCCTGCAGCACAGCCTGGCACCCGGCAGTCCCTCACCTATCCCCTCCTACGAAGGGACCAGCTGATTTTAGACAGATTCAGGGCAGGTTTCAGGGAGGAGATGGCAGCTGTCCCCAAGCATTCATTTATTCAAAGCCCTTTTCAGTGTCTCCCAGCTTAGGAGACAGAGCACTGATCGGGGCAGCCCCTCTAGGAGCTGGGCCCCTACTCAGCCAGGGTCACAGTTCTCCAGCTGCAGGAGACCGAGCCCTCCCCAGGAGCGGGGCTCAGCCAAGGCCGACCAGAGGGAGGTCCGCTGGGCACCTAGCAGTGGTGGGGCAGAGCGAAGAGCCCCAAGGGGTTCACCTGGGGACAGAGGCCATGCCGACACGTGGTCAGCAAGGCCAAACTGCAGCCACACAGGCAGCAGGGAGCAAAGAAGGCAATGACCGCACAGGGGGTGAACTGCACGCCGCTGCACCCTGAGCATGTCCCACTCTGAGGCTCACGTGGGGTTCTCTCCAGGCCTAAATGGACCCTCTTGTGCTCCTGTAAGAAGCTGGTGCCGCAGGGAGGGAACCTGGCTCTGGAGCCAGACAGACCTTACCCACAGCCTCTGTCTGCTCTTCAGGCAAACACAGCCTCCTTCCCTCATCTGACAAGTGGGCCCCGAACGCCCACCTGGAAGAGCGAAGCCCGTGACAGTTAACACGACATGTCCTCGATAAACAACAGCTCTCGTTCTCATGCCCAAGGACCAGAGCAGCACGTCCATCTGGAGGGGCTCGCCCACCCAGCCGCGTGCAAGGCACCCTAAAGGCTCTGAGCACACCAGAGAGAGGGCTCTGCTTCCTCCAGTCACACCTTAGTGGACACTGATCAGTCCCAGGAAAGGGTGAGTTGAAAAGCCAGCTGCTGGGAAAGTTTCTCAGGATGAATTCCACCCTCGGTCCCCCAGGAATGACACTGCTAACAGCTACTTTCAAGCAACCAGGGGGCAAAAGCTTGGTACCAGGAACTCACAGGGATTGCTTTTCTGGGCAGGAACTCACCCAGCACCAGCCGTTTATTATCTGCGGCTGCGCGCCGGCCGGTAGCTTGGCTGGATCCCGGCCCGCCTCTCTGGAGCAAAGAGCAGACAACAGAGAACGAGGTGCCTTCACAACTCAGGGGGCCAGACTCAGAGCGCACAGGTTTTGCAGCCTCCAGCTTTTCCTTCAGGGGCTTGGTTTCCAGACAACAGTGAGACACACTCGGCTGGCCAAGTGCATTACCGAGTTCAAGTCCCAGGGCAGGAAAATCACCTCCCTCACACAAGAGGGCACCGAGGCTCAAAGGGAAGGCATGTCTCAGTCCGAGTTCCCCAGAGAGTAAATAGTAGAGGGGAGACTCCACCTCAGGGGCCAGGCCCCAGCTCCAGTGTCTGTCCCACCAGTCGCGCCATCTCCCACCGGGAGAGCCTACGTCGGCGTCAGAGCGCTGCTCAGCACGGCCACAGTCAAGGCCCAGATGAGGCCTCGGGCAGCTATTCAGCAATTCACTTCTCGCACCCTTTCTGGCTGGTGATAGCTGGGTGACATGCCAGCACAGCGCCCCCCAAGCCCCAGCCCTACACTGAGATGGGGTGAGGAACAGGGAACCCCGAGATGAAGTCCCCAGGGCTGTGCGACAGGGCAGAAAGAACACGAGCTTCGGCATTGGCCAGGCCAGGCTGACACCCCTCTTGCCACCCCTGCGTGTGTATGAAAGCAACTCCACCTCCAGAAAAGTGGGCGTCGACACTGGCCTCAGGGTCAGCTGTGATGGTGGGTCAGGGGTCAGCTCACCTCTACAGAGGGTGCATGCTCCCTTCTTCCACCGCACGCTGGTCAGCTCTCCTAACATGGCACAGAGCTGAAGGATCGGGGGCACGGAAGGAAAGTGTGACTCCGGGGACCCAGAGAGCCCCGGAACGCAGGTTCCCTCCATAGGACCTCATCTCTCTAAGCACACAAAGGAAGTAATTCTCAGTGCAACCTGGACGGCCAACCTGGGCCTCCAGGAGACTTACAGGCTCATTCTCACAGGGGAATGGGCAAGCCAGGCAATCCCTGGAGTGGGCTTTGGGGCTGCCATGACGCCCACTGCAGACAACGAGAGAGCCCCTAAGCACTTTGCTGCGTGTGGGGCATGAGGCAGGCTGCGGCAGGCTGGGCCAGACGGGCAGGGGACCCCCTCAAACCTGGCACACACCAGAAGTGGTCTCCTACTGTTCCAATTAGCTTTGCCGTGTTGGAGAGGTGGGACTCTCCTGCAGGGACACAGGAAAATTCTCCTAATTGAAATGGGAAATGAGCACAGTGAACGGTAACGCTCACTGTGGTTAAGTGTCTTCCCCAAGGGAGCTTTGTATCGTAAGGAGTGTGAGACTGTGAGTCAGGGGACCTGGATTTGCTTCTCGGCTCTTCTGCCTGGCAGCTATGTGACTTTGAACTTACTTCACCTCTTTTTGGCCAAGTTACTCAGTTCTTCTGAACCTCAATCTCCTCATCCGTAAAATGGGGCGAACAAGGACCCACTGGTCAAACGCTCTGCTAGTGCTTTAATAAAGATGATTTATTTTAATCTTCACCGTAACTCAGCAAGGTATGTGTGCCCACTTCCTTGATGAGAAAACTGAGGCTTCGAGAGGTCAGACGACGCTCAGGGTCACAGAGCCAGCAAACAGAGTGCTCCCTATTACCACCACTCTGCACTCCCCGGTCCCCAGACCGTGCACTCCATGAGTGGAGTGCATACTTTGTGAGGTGGGGCGCGCCTGCGTTCTCTGCCAGCTCGCACACGGTGCTCTGCAAACAGCAGGTGCTCAATTCACACCTGAAGAATCACCCCAGAGTGAATCCAGGTTTGAATCCCAGAGTCCGTGCTCCCTCCACTACCCCATCCATCCCATTTATACAACACCTACTATAAAGTGTGGTATACATGCTTTTACACGCAACTGCGAAACTCTTCCCCTTGCCCTTCCCACCAAAGCGGTTATCTCCACACTCAGTTCTCTGACATGCAGAAATTTAAAGAAACAAAAGACAGCCAGGTGGGGGCAGGAGGCGCCTTTCTGAAAAGGGATTTTGCACCTCCTAGATTTTCAGTGTTCATGTCCCCAGCCCACAAAGTACCCAAGGTCTGGGAAGGACCTCTGCTCTGGGCGCAGGGAGCCACCTACACCCTCATCTCTGAAAGACCACACGCGGCTGCCACTCAGCGCGGCGCTCCCGGGACATCACTCTCCGCTGAGTTTGGCCATCAGAGGCAGCAGGGCCCTCTGCTGCAGCGTGGCCGCTGGATGACCTCCCCAACACTGCACTGGGGTGCCCACAGCCCCCACCCTTGAGGACCGAGGATAATGAGAGGGTTCCAGCTCTGTTTCAGGGAGGAAAAACCAAGTCTCTCTTTTGAGGCGGTTTCAGGCCAGAAGAAAGGAGTTAGGGCCGTTCTCTGAGAAACACGCAGGCGAAACGTGAGGGGCAAGACTGGGCCCCACGCAAAGCTAGGCCCATGGTATCTCTGAGGCCTGTGCCTTCAACCTGGCTGACGAGGATGTGTCCAACCAGAATGGCGTGTTATGCTTCTTGTTTTCTGCCCAGACTATAGTGCTGGGCAGACACTTAACAAGGGATACTGGGCACACAGGTCTCACTTAGTTTCAACTAGAGCTGGGTCTGGGACCTTTCCCCCAAGTCTAAGTATGTCAAGTCTCTAGACTTGATTTTCTACATACGAAACACGCAGTATCCAAGACCCCGCATTGAAACGTGATGGGTGTGGTTTGACATGGGCGACATAAAGTGCTTTGGCATGGATTAGACAACTGTTTTTGTCTAACGAGTAGATTCGTTCAATCAGTAACTGTTTGAGGAAAAAATCCAGGTTAATAATAGTAGGAACAAACCCAGTGGGTTAAAGTAAAAATAGCACGAATCTATACCAGATAACTGAGGGCTGAGAATACAGGCAAAAATAAAAGTCACTATTTAAGGGGCATCTATTTGGCTATTTACATCCACTATCTCTTTTTTTCTTTTAAATCCTCACCCGAGGATGCATGTGTGTGTGTGTTAAAGATTTTATTTATTTATTTTTAGAGAGAGGGGAGGGAAGGAGAAGGGAGAAAGAGGAAGGGAAACATCCATGTGTGGCTGCCTCTCGTGCGCCCCCCTACTGGGGACCTGGCCTGCAATCCAGACATGTGCCCTGGTGGAATCGAACTGGCGGCCCCTTGGATCACAAGCCAGCGCTCAATCCACTGAGCCACACCAGCCGGGCTTTTTTTTTAAGAGAGACAGAGGGAGAGAAAAAGAGCAAGTATAACATCGATTGGTTGCCTCCCATACGCACTCTGACTGGGATTGAACCCGCAACATTTTGGTGTAGAGAATGACACTCCAACCAACTGAGCCACCCAGCCGGGGTCCACTAATCCTCACACCTACCCTAAGGAGCAAGCACCATTATCCTCATCACATAGACGAGGACACTCAAATTCACAAAGGCCATGTCAATAGCACAGAATCACGCTAGTAGCCAGTGAATGGGGCTGGACCTGAGGTGGCTCCCACTCCAAACTCAGGGCTCCCTAAAGGTGGGGGAAATTCCATGTAAAAGCTAGGAATATACCCAGGAAGGGTTACATTTTTAGGAGTGACAGATACTACTCTATCTGGGCCTTAGGAAGGTGAACTCATGGCTTCTGCCAACCCCCTACCAGCACGTGCCAGAGAAAGGCGTCACATGCACCTCCAGGCGGCACTGCACGGAACAGGTGGCCTCCATCCACCTGCTCCTGGGGCCGTCCCCAACACCCCGCTCACATTCCACACAGCGTCCCCCCTGCAAAGTCTTAAGGCCCATGACAACTCGGGTAATAATAAGCACCCCCTCCACGCACCTAGGAGGCCGTGGGGGCAGGCCTCTGTTGCAAAGGAAGCGACTGTTTCAGAAGCAGGAGGAACCTGGTGGAGAGGTTTCGAAAGAGTAGGGGAACCGGCTTTGCTGGGAATCTGAGTAGCGGGAAGCTCAGCTGCAAGGGATTCAGGGGACTGAGTCGGGGTCTGGCCCCTGCTCACTGTCTCACTGTCTACGTGACCTTGGCTGAGTGCCTTCTTTTCTGTGGGCCTCTGTGCCCCCAGGCCAGGGCAAGCCGCGAAGCCGGTGACAACCAGGTGACAGTGACCCCTGGGGACGGGAGGATACCCCAAGATCACCGCGGGGGTAGGGGACGGCCAAGAAGATAACAGGTTAGCCAGGAAGGCAGTGCGGACGCGACGGGAAGGGCGAGGGGGCATGGGGTGGGGGAACAGGGGAAGGGGGCTCCCCAGGGGATTCCCGGGCTGGGCCGAACGTGGGGACACTTAGAATGAGTAAGTCCGGTGACCTAGGAGCTAGGGAGTCACGGGAGGCCGGGGGGGTGTCAGGGTCACGTGAGAAGGGGGGTCAGGAACAATGGGGGTACAGGGGGCGAGTGGAGCGGGGAGCGCTCCGGGGCCTCGCGTCTCCTCCCTCTGCCTCACTCACCCCCATGGCGGCAACGGCGGCAGCGGTTCTCAGCTCCCCTTTCCCACACTTGCCGGCAGGGAGGCGGTAACGGCAGCTACGGTGGCAGCGGCGACACCAGAGCGACGGCGGGCCCGGCAGCGCGCATGCGCTCCGCGGGCTCTCCCGCGCGCCCCGGTGGGCACCGCGCCTGCGCGCAGCCGGCGCTTTGGGGATGAGCGGGGGTAGACGGGCAGGTGGAGGGCTCCAGAGGCGGGCCGAGGGTCTCTCAGCGGGAGGAGGCGGGAGTTGCCGGAGGCAGCGTCGCGCTCTGAATGACGCCACCATGACCCCGCCCCCTCATCGCCAGGGCGCGTCTGTAGCTATGGCAACGGCTGCACCCGGCAGAAAAAAAGTGCGTCTTGGTGCAGCCTGGTGGGTGGCCTCGCAGCCCTAGTGCTCTGCGTTTCTGCGGCCCGCCCGACCCCAGGCAGCTGGAGGAGCAGCCACCTTCACAGACAACCAAACCGTCACGACCTCTGAAGTACCAGCCCCTCCTGCAACCCTGGGGCACGGGGGGAAGTCTTTGGAAACTTTCCCACCTAGATCGCGAACTCGAAATTCCTTTGTAACCAGAGTCCCGTTATTCATTCATCTGTCTTGTCATCATTCATTCACCTTCCATTCATTCGCGCTCTCAGACATTTACTGGCCCCTAATGCTGTGCTGAGACCATGGCTGTCGCTGTCCAAAACACTGTGTAGAGAGGAGACAGGCGTGAAAACAATTGTTTAATGGGGAGTGGGTAGTGCAGTGAAAGTGAGACCCCAGGCTTTCTGGAGAGTGTTTCAGTCTATCCCAGAAGACCAAAAGGTAACCCCCACATGACCTTCATAAGACCCAGGGAGCCTGTGCACTGTGCACACCCCTGGGGCCCCTCCCTAGAAAATCCAGGGGTGGAGCCATAGTGTTTCATTCTGAGAGCTCTGCCGGTAGGTTGAATGCAGGAAAGTTGGAGAAATGCTGCCCAAGACTTAAACTTCAAAGACTTTGCCAAGTTTCACTCATTATCCCATCTTCACTGCTCAGGGCAGCAGCGGCTCTAAGACAGGTGCTCAAGCAACATTTGCTCAGCGCCCGTCTCACCCTGGGCACCGTCCCCGGCAGCAAAGCAAACAATAACAGACAGAAAAGACAGTGTTGTCATAGGACTAGAAGGGGGAGGCAGATATTCCAATGAATAGATACACAATGCATTAGATGATGTAGGTTCTGTGAAGGAAAATAAAGCAGGGAAGGAGGCTAGGGAAGGTCGGGGTTTATAGTTTCAACTGGGAAGCTCAGGGAAGGCAAGCACGAGATGACTTTTGAATCAAGGTCTCAAGGAGTTAAAGGGGCAAGTGATTAGGTTACCTGGGGGAAGGGCATTCCAGGCAGTGGGTACTGTTGCTGCAGAGCCTCCAAGCTGGAGCAGGATCAGAATGCTGGGGGAACTGCGAGAAATACAATGTGCTTGGAGCAGTGAGCCCACAGAATAGCAGGAGGGGAAAGCAAACAGGTGAGGGGAGGAGCATGAAGGGCTGGTAGTTTTTGAAAGACTTTGGGATTGCAGTGAACTTGGATGCCATCAGAAGGTTGGAGTGGAGGAGCAGGAGGGCTGCTTACAGTACCAGCCTGCGGCTGGGATGAGGAGAATGCAGGGTCAAGGTCAAAGGAAGGGCAGTACAGAGGCCACTGCTCTGACCAAGGCAGGAGTGGGGGTGCCCGCAGCAGTGCCGGTGCGCAGTGCAGTCAGGACATGGATGCACGTTGAAGGTAGAGCCAACAGGACTCGCTGACTGACTGGCTGTGGAGTGAGGGGGAGAGAAAAGAGTTCAGATGCCTTCAGATGTTTAGCTCGTGCCACTGGGAAAAAATGAAGTGGCTTCAGCTCAGATGCGGATGACGTTGCAAGGAGCCAGGTGGGGGCGGGGAAGGGGAAGATGGGGAATTCGGTTCTGACCATGTCTGTTTGCAGATGTCCTCTAGATACGCACGTGGACACATGGAACAGCCAGAGCCTGGAAACTCAGGGAAACGTCCAGGCCGGAGATAAATATTTTTGTACAGTCAGCACTTGGGTAGTATTTAAAGCTGGACGAGGCTGGAGGGAGGAGACTTGGAAGGAATGGAGGGAGGCTTGAAGGACTCTTCAGCCTGTGTCCCATTCCTCAGTCAGAAGATCTGGTTGCTGGCACTCTGGGGACCAAAAAAAGTATCCAAGGGTCGGAGGGGATGGCTGAGGTAGAAAGAGGGGACATCTCAAACTTACTTTTGAAGGAGGAAGAAGCAAGATCTCAGGGAAGGGGACAGTATTTTTGGAGGCAGGAGCCAGGAAGCAGCGAGGCAATGTGGGACTGAGGCTCGACCCCCACCCCCAGCGCAGTCCCCTGCTTTGGCTTCTCTCCTCTCTGTCCCCACATTGAACTCCATGGTCAGTTGTTTCAGGGACTAAATGCCTGTCACTATGATCGCCCGTGCCCTGTCTTTTCTGCTACTCCCCACTCTTGGGTCCACCCACCTCCTCCAGGCTGCTGGAATTTGCTGGACACCAGACAAGGCCTGGGAGATGAGCCCAGTAATCCCTTGGGGAAGTGACATCATCCGGGCCCCTGAAAGGCTGAGAAAGCCCAAGGCCCTGTTCCTGCCTCACAGCGGGTTCCGGGGCCTGCCCCGGACCCCGGCCTCTGCCCTGCTCAGGTCTCCTGGGCCTGGTGACAGAGCTGGCTTTGGAGTCAGAATGGCCTGGGTTTAAACTCCCTCTCTGCTACTTTGGGGTTTGTGACTTTTGGCAACGTAAGTAAGGTTTCTGAGACTTGGTTTTGTTTTAAGTTATTTTTACAGTGAGACTACCCATTGCGATCATTTCACCGCCCTGATCCATGGGGCTCTGAGAATTAAATGACTCGGGATGGTGGACAGCCCGGCAGGGCCTGGGGCAGGAAAGGAACCCCTCCCAGGTACCAAAGTTCATCTCCCCACCCTCTCTGCCCTGCCCCACCCCTCTTCTTCATTCCCTGCCAAACATCTGCCCCAATGGTCAGGCTGTCAGCACTGCCCCACTGGCCATTCCCTCCAGCTCCCACGCAGGGGACCCAGGGGCCCATCTCCACTCTCCCCTTCTTTGACCCTTCCGCACAGGGACACTGTCCCCCCACCCCGCCTTCTCAGTTCCTGCACCCTTCCCGCCTCCTTCCCGGACTCCTCTCCCTTCTTTTCCTCCCCTTCATCCCAAGACAGCCACGCCCCCAAATACTGTCCTTTGCCCTCCTCTCACTCCGGAGCCCTCAGCTGTTCCCAACTATTCACTAGTTCATTTGCTCGGCAGAGGCCTGGGGCCACTGCATGCTCCACGGTGTCATCTAAGCTGGGAAACAGGCTGGGAAGACAACCCCTGTCCAGGGGTGGGTGTGTCACAGCACAGCTGGGGTGAGGTAGGTGTCACACAGTGTGATGGGCTGGCCCTGAGAGTCCCTTGATTTCTCCCAGAGAATCAAACTGTTGCCCACTCTCCCCTTCCTGCCACCTGGGGAGCTGAGCCTTCTCCGAGGCCAGGCTACCCTGGGCCTCACGCCCTCAGGCTCCCTCCCCGCAGCCCCCCCTCCCTCCGCCAGCCTTCTCAGTCCTGATCCTCTCCAGCTCCAGCTTGTGCTCCAGGCCTCGCTCTTACTCGAAAACATTTGGAAACAGTGGCCTGCCCTGTCTCTGCCTCCTCGCTTCTCAGGCCACTGACTCCTCAACGCACTGCAGCCTGGCTTCTCTTCCCTCCACCAACTAAAGCCTCTCCCTGGTGCCTCCAGCAGTTCTGCTAATCTTTCTGGGCCGCCCTCCAACTTCTGGCATTCTTCATTCCCTTTGCCTTGAAATGCTGTCCTCTCCTTGGCATTTGTGGCCGCAAGATCCCCACCCCCTTTCTCAGACCCACACCTGGTCAGGTCGGCTAAAGCCTGACCAGGCTCTGCACTCTGTTAGGGGTTAGGGTGTTCGGCCACTGCCCACCCGGGCAGGTCCCCTGTCTCCACTCCCACCTTCTGCTCTGCTGTTCCCTCCACCTTCACCTGAAACCCTCTTTCCTCCTCATACCTGGAGTCCCAGGATAAATAAACATCGGAAGCCTTCTTCTGACTCATGCAGCTGGCCCGGGCACACTTCCTGGGGTCTCCTGATGCCTCGTTCATTCTTTATCACACAGCATCGGGGTCACTCACCCCTGCCACCTCCCCCATGAGGCTGCAGGCTCGCTGCTACTGCAGGATTGCCAGACACAATACATGGAACTCACATAAACTCACTCTTCGTCGGAAATCCAGACCACTGGGTGCCCTTTATTTTCATAGGCTAAATTTGGCAACCTTAACAGCTGTGCTCCGGCCCCGGCTCAGTGCCCGATGTGTACAGAGCAGGTGCTCAGTAAATATGAGGGGAAGGGATAATGGTGGCGGTGACGGGGGGCAGGCGCGGGTACTGGGGGGCACAAAGGAAAGGTAACAGGCTCCCTAGAGGAGGTGACACCTGAGCCAAAGCCGATGGAGGTAATTAGGTCGTGGTGTCAACCGGTCCCGCCACGGGGATGCCGCCTCCAGCGAGTTGAATCGTGTCCCCTAAAAAGACATGTTGACGTTCTAACCCCTGGTACCTGTGAGTCCTTATTTGGAAATAAGCTCTTTGCAGATGTGATTAAATGAAGGGTCTCAGGATGAGATCGTCCTTGGTTTAGGATTGGCTTCAAACCCAGTGACTGACGTCCTTATAGGAGGAGGGAGAGGGAGGTCTGAGACCTGTGGACACAGGGGACACAGCCGCGGGAAGATGGAGGTGGAGATGGGGTGAGGCAGCTGCAGCCAAGGAACACAGGCCTGCGGGGAGCCCTCCGGAGCCAGGAGAGAGGCACAGGCAAGATTCTCCCTCAGAGTCTGGGAGAAGCCAATCCTGCCGACATTTTAAAAAAGATTTTATTTCTTTTTAGAGAGGGGGAAGGGAGGGAGTTAGAAAGGGAGAGAAACATCAGTGTGTGGTTGACTCGCATGTGCCCCCCACTGGGGACCTGGTCTGAAACCCAGGCCTGTGCCCCTACTGGGAATCAAACCAGCGGCCCTTTGGTTCTGTCTGCAGTCCATCCACTGAGCCACACCAGCCAGAGTCTGACATCTCGATTTTAAACTTCTGGTCTCTCACCCTGGCTGGTGTAGCTCGATGGATTGAGCACCGCCCTGCAAAGCAAAAGATCACTGGTTTGATTCCTGGTCAGGGCACACGCCTGGGTTGGGGGCT